GGCTACATGTTATTTATGTAGCAAGTATAACTTAATATTTTTAAATCTTCACTAATTCAGAATCTATAATATAATTTGTCCAGAACTTGCTGAAATACTTTGCACTGGCTACAAAAAGGCAGACTGAAAGCAAATTAACACTGCAAATTCTAAAGACCATGTTTAAACAAGAAAAGAAAATCTAAAAGCTCTTAAGAACTTAAGCAGAATCATTTTCACCTAAAGATAAATGATATATTATTCACTGGGTAGGACCAAATATTTAGAATTATTTAGTTAACAACTTGTGGAGTTACATATATTTGAAAGGAATAAAATTATAAATGTAATAAAATTATTTGCAAAGCCTTAATAAAAGTTACGAACATCCTCCATGAAAGCAGTCTTTTTACCTAGCCATATGTACTGAATAGGATCAGGCCTGTAAAGACAAGTCTCTTCTGAATCCTTTGTGACCACTCCATTCTCAATCTCTTTCCTTTTGCGTGCTGGAATTTTTCAGTATTCTTTCAACAGTTTCAACAGGACATGCCCCCTGGTGGAAATGTTCACCAGCCTCTGTACAGGATCTCTCCTTAAACCAGTTCCAAGGTTTGTACTTCTCTTTAACACAGAGATTGAATTCATGCACTTAATATTTACTTTTTCCCCATACTTCATTAAAATAACAGCTAAGAAGTTTTTCTTTAAAGGCATGAAGACAAAGATAATGGGCAAGGAGAAAAGGAATAATATAGCAAGCAAGGGATGTCAACCAAGTTTTGGAAACTGGGCAAGGAGTAACTGACTGTGCCCCACAGGAAAAGCTGAAACCTGACTGCACAGCAGGGGAAAGCTGCAGCAAGTCACTTTGGGCTGTAGGACCTGGAAAAGGCTCCTCTCTTGGAGATATTTCTGAACAAAGGAATGAACTGAAAACAAAGATGTGGATGAAAGTGAAAAGAACGGTTAGGTTTCCACCCCCACCCTCACAAAGCACAGCCAGGTGATTTCCCCCTTCTTGACTAAACCAGATTCACAGCCCACAGTGGTTTGCAGGGATTGTGGGGAGCGGTGAAGAGAGAAGAGACTAGGAAATGCATTAGTTAGAACAGTGTACATGCTGAACCCTGAGACACCCCAAAACACTAGATTAAGATTAGAAAATTCTTTTGTAGGATGCTGATTAATCCAAAAACTGCTGATTTTTGTAGATTCCTTAATGAAAAAAAAATCAGCTTGCCACCTAAATTCCCTACAGAAAAGCCTACTAGTCAACAAACTGTGCCCACCCTGTACACAGAGCCTCCTAACAGTGCTTAACTCTTAACTATGAATGGTTAGGCAAGGATTTGAAGAAAGTCTTCACTATTACTAGCAGAGACCAAAAAAAAGAAAAAACTAGAAAAGAAAAAAAGATACATGGAGGAAACAAAGGCAGTGCATGAAGAAAACTTTAAACGAAAAAACTAACTAGAATCCTAAAAAAAAAAGACATTATATTCACGAAGCAAGAAGAGTATGATATATCAAAGGAACAGTCAAAGAACAACAACAAAAAAAAAAACCCAGAGCTCCTGGAAATTAAAATGCACAGAAATTGGGGGGAAAAAAAAAAAATCAACCTGATTCCAAAGATAAAGTAAAAGAAATCACTTCAAAACTTATAACAAAGACAAAGAGATGGACAACAGGAGAAGGAACTTATAGAAGAAATAATATTCAAGATTTCCCAGAACTGTAGGACATGAACTTCCATACTGTGGGGGCCCGCCCAGGGGCGCAAGCAGTTAAGTGTGCACGCTCCGCTGCGGCAGCCCTGCTTGGCAAGCCATGCCGTGGCATTGTCCCATATAAAGTAGAGAAAGATGGGCACAGATGTTAGCCCAGGGCCAGTCTTCCTCAGCAAAAAAAGAGGAGGATTGGCAAATGTTAGCACAGGGCTGATCTTCCTCACAAAAAAAAAAAAAAAGAGAGAGAGAGAATCTCCACACTGAAAGAACCACCAAACATCTAGCAAATAAATTTTAAAAGACCCACACAAGGCATGTCACTGTGGCATTTCAGATCCTGGGGAATAAAGAAAGGAATCTAAAGATTCTAAAGAGAAAAACAA